ATTTAACGATGAAAATGGTAGCAGGAAGAAAAATAAAATATTTCATGGAGAAGACAGAAAGGAAGAGAAAAACTCTAAAGGAAAACAGCAAATGTATTTTATATATATGTATACATGGCTGTGTATGCACAAACATGTTCTATATAATAACCCCCTCACAACAATCTTTGAAAAAGATGGGAAAGATTTATGCTTAAGTACTAAGAAGAACTTCAGGGATGGAAAAATCACTTAATTAGGACTCAGATGTCTGACAGATCTGCAAGCCTTAGTTTCTTACACAGTTTTTCTAATTTCCTTCCTTATCTCTAGCTTTCCCTTTCCCTTTGTCCCAGAAAACTCTTTACAGTCTGGACATTTTCATGCACTATTTTTTCTGGCAGATGTTCGTGGAGGGAAGATAACTGATGATATTATGGTTAAGTAAAGATATTCACAGAGCAAGAGCCCAGATTAGCATCTCTGTTAAATTCATACCAGGAAAAATGCCTTATGCTTTGAAACTATAGAATATTTTGCATACTGGGGCAAAGATTCACTTGCTAAAGGTGTAATGTCAGCATCCAGGAGATGAAGGTTCTTGTCCTTGCTCTTTTTCATATCTTATTAAAACCAAGAGAAATTATTTGACTGCACTGTGGCATTTTTAAACAGGCAGTGTTGTTTTGCATAGGTGATATTGCTGAGTAACAAGCCACTCCATGTTAGTCCGGTTTATTGGTTGCTGCTGTCCCCGGGAACTTGTTGGGAAGCTGCTGTGAGAGCCCCACGTGTGGAGGGAGAAGAGTGGGGGCATTTTCCTGCCCGATGGGAATTGTAAGCTGCAGCTTACAGAGCGAAGAGAGGACCCTGGGACTGACATATGTCTGGGAGCTCTAAAAGCTTAGATCACCCTGCTATGTAACATGCTTAGAGATTTCTAGCATTAAGGCTCTCAAAAACACAAAGCAATGCTATAAATATGCAAAAGCATTTTCATTTGCTTTCCGTTTAGGTTTTTGACCAGTAGCCCTAGAGGAGATATATAAAAGGACCATAAACTTAGCCACTGTTGAATTACTGTTTCATTTTCCTCCTCATCTATTTGTGCAAGTTTGTATTTTAATCAGGTGGTATTATATCTGAAGGCGGTACTGGACCTATGTATTCCAAGACTGGAAAATAGATTAATTCATGTCTGTGATGAATAAAAATCATCACAGGCTAAGTGCAGTCTAAAGACCATTGTAAGTATGATGCTATCTAGCAGAACTCAAAATAGAACATAAGCTGAAAAGCTTGGTATGGTAATGATATCTGTACCTTGCTCTCAAAAATGTGCAGCTTTTTCTTTTGTCGCTCGTTCAAGGACATAAAAAAACAAGGTTATATGGCTTTCAAACAGAATGTCTGCATTTTTTCCCCCTTTTCGTACTTACCACTGTCAGAAATCTTGCTTCAAAGACAAGACTGTTATCTAAACCAGTCCTAAGTGAGATATTCTCTCCAGTATATTACCAGCCTGCAATATGGCATTCTAATGGGCTTTGGTCATGTGAAGCTAGAACCTTAAAGTTTTATGCCTAAGTTCACAGGTAGACAGCAGAAGAGGAGGATCTTGTTGGCCAGTTACACTAGCTGCTGTTCTGCAGCCATTATAGAAAACAGAAGAAAACAGAAAATATGGAAAAACAAACGAACAAAAAAACAGAATAGAGAACAGAGCAAAGGAAAAAGAAAAGAGAGGAAATAGGAGGAGAGGAGAGAGGGAAGGGGAAAAGTCACCCAACCTGAAAAAAGGAGATCTTGGAAAAATGGTCCTTAAGGGTTTGTGCAATATTAACTATTGTGAAAAGTAATTACTTCCACTTTTGAAGGGCACTTTCCTACGTCCATCAATCAACCAAAAGAAAAAAGTCTGTAAACTCTTTGAGATCACTTGATGTCACCTTTGTGACCTGGCTGAACAGAAAACTGTATTGCAGAAGGCTGAACTTTCAGACGTACTTCCTTCAATTTAAATACACCCAGTCTTCAGATGTAGTGAATGTGACACTCTAGGGCAGTATTTGGGTAACTTAAGAGGTGTCTGCTATCACTTCATCTCACCTGCAGCACTTGGATGTCCCCTGTGTTCCGCAGTACCTCTGCCAGCCCCGTATGGGTGTCTTGAACACTGTGCAGTATTTTAAATGGCCCTGAGTGCTTGAGTTTAATGACTGAATCTCCTCCTTAGTCTCTCCGCTGCAGTTTACATAGCTCTGCACTGTCTTTTCTTAGTTGTGCTGGAAGTATGAGCACTGCACCTGGGGCTTGCCAGAACTCTTGTAAAAAAGAGCTTCCTTCCAAAGAGACTTGGGTCGATTTTGTCATTTTTATCATTTATCAAGCAAAAGTGCTTGAAGTATAACAAAAAAGTATAACAAAAAGGCAACTTCTCAGATTGCAAATTTCATGTGGTCTCCAACCGAGTGAGTGACTGCAGTGTGGCAGCCTGAGCAGGCCGGGTTGGCGAGGGGACTGTGAAGGCAGGAGATGGAGTAGCTCTGCTCCCGCCTGTGCTCTTGCAGGGATCCCTGCTGATCTCCATGAGGGGAGCGAGCAGGCTCCCAGAGCCTACGCCAAACGCTCCCCAGGGCTTTATTTTTAGCGCCTTGGATTTTACGAGAAAAGCAGCCTAAAGGTTATCAAGTTCTTCCCTGAGTCCAAAAAAGTATGTGTGAGAAAACGCCACTGGTAATGTTTACCCAGAATGTAAAATGCGGTATCAGAATAAGTCTTGTATTTTTCTTGGATTCCAGCCAAAACAGAGCAGTCAACAAAAGGAAAGTGTATCGGGTCAGAAGGAAAGAAAGCTTTGAAAAGAAATTAGAGGTCCTTTTGTTTTCCATTTCCAAATACTTTTGTGTGAGACAATCTTTTTAGGTGTATTTATATACCCTGGGAGCTACTGGAAACAACCAGACTTTCACCCCACAAAGCACGTATCACTCTGTATATCTTAACTTGGTTTTAAGGATTTCAAGAAGAGCTCTATGGCTAATGTGTACATGCTGACTTAGTTACTTTTTAGGTGAATGTGGAGCTGTATTGAGCAATAGCTCTTTCAAGGACTTGGCAATGCAGAAGAAAAGGTCTGCTTTTTCTGATGCTCCATGCGTAAGAGAAAAACAAAAATTCCTGCATTTTCACTGCATTGTTCTCTCCCTCCGAAAACTTATGTGAATTGGGTGTTATTATCCTAGTTGTCTAGATAAGGAGATTGAAGCCAAGATTGAGAAGCAGGTTATGTGTAGTGGCTGCATAGCTTCACAGAGGATAATAAAAGAAACCGCTGTTGCCTGTTGCACCCATCAAAAAGTTAATTTTGCCTAAAAGAATCATTGAAAGATTTCCATTGATTTAAGGGAGGAAGGAGTCAGTTAGCTCAATGAACCCATACTGCCTCTTTGGACCCAGGAATCCCTGTTCCTAGATAAATTGCCCATGAAATTCTCAAGTACATAGGTTTCATTACCTCCAGAAGAAAGCCCTATCCTGGCCAGTCCAGTACTGTGGGCTTTGGCCGTATTTTAGAGTGCTGGTGCAAAGGACAAAAGCCTGTAATGAGGTACCAAAAAGATGGTGATCTGTCAGAACCTTCATGAATTTCAGCCTCATTCGCTGGTAGGTGCAGGCTTACATGCTTTGCTTCCAAGATTTTCTCAAGTGTCATGCGAGCACTGTAACCGCAAGCAGCTTCTGCATAACAGCTTAGAGAGAGAGTTTTGGTGCATAGTCCGTACTTTGCTTCCAGCTGTGGACAAGCTGGAGGCAAAGCCACCACTGCAAAGCAGTATTTGCCCTCCACACTCGATAGCTGTGCTTAGCTGCTATCCAAGCAGGATGATTTTCTTCTCCCCCAAAAAAACATTTTTCAAGTTTGCGAATAATTATTTTTAAATTCACTTGTAGGAAAACAAATATTTTTTATTAATTTTGTAAAAGTTTTAACTGCAGAACCACTACAAAGTTGGATTGGTTCTTTTCTGACCCCTTCAGTTTGAGAGATTTGTTTGCCAAACTTCTGTGCCAGTCCCAGCACTGCATTAAGCTTAGATCTTCTTGACAGGTTGCTCAGATGAGTGATCTCATTGATGGGGTGTGTATGTATACATTAGAGTACAGTAGGATTAGAGTCCTCCAGTGCTTGTTACCTCCTTTGGAGACTTTGGCTGATTTTGCCTTTTCAGTTTTGGAAGATTTCCTTGCAGGTGTGGTTTACTATTTTTACTGACCCAGCATGCATGAACTCACCTTTTTAAGTTAAAGGGAGGTAACTGCAAGTAGAAGAAGAGGCAGGCTCTAAGAGTGTGTTCGCTTATTTAAGTGTAAAAGGAATATGGAAAGGAGAAGTGGATGCAGTGCAACGGGGAAAAAAGAAATATATATATATATATATATATACATATACACATATGTATATAGGTCAATATGTGGTTTCATCTACTCCTGTGACCAGGGGAAAAAAAAAAAAAAAAAAAAGACTCCAAAAAAGAGGAAGCTCCAGGGGTTATTTTAAATCAGTGACAGGAAATGTCCCTGAAATTTAGTTTGGATCTCAAAGGACAGCAGCAAAAGAGCATTTCATAACATCTCGCAGGTGAAGGGCTTGATCTTGAAAAGGGCAAAGTTGCTTTGCCAGATCAGAGTTGGTTGAGGTGTGGTTCGAATGGAAAATTATATTGTCAATAGCCTAATCACAAGGGCAAAATTTAGATGTAGAGTCACACATGAAAATGTTTTGACTGCAAGTGAGGCACAGGTAACGGGGAAAAGTTGGCCTCCCAATGTGAAATCTTTATTACTTCATTTCATTACAGTACCAGCTTTTTGGCAGTAAACCAAACCCTAAACTCTAACCCTAATGTCCTAGTGACTGTCACACCCAGCGTGCTGGGCACCACCGAGACCCTCCTATTTCAGAACAGAGCCGCACTGCAAAACTAGACCTAACCTTGCCTTTTTGTCCCTTGCCATAGAGATGAGGAGAGTGCTCCCAGCTCGCGTGACGGCGAGGACTCGCTCCTCGCTGCTCAGCTCCAGCAGACGCTGGCTGACCTGGACGAAGACCTGGAAGGTAGGTACGGGAGAGGGTCGCCTCAGAAGTACGATGGAGCTGAGTGCAGGCAGGAGGTGCCGAGGCAAACGCTGCTCTGAGAGGCCCACACGTTTCTCAACGAGGTGCTGGGGAGCAGCTCGCGGTGCAGGGGCAGAAGGTGGTGCCATCCAAGGGACCGCTTTGAGGTTGTCTCTGGGACAGGTCACCCTGCACATACAAGCTATGAGTGTTTTGGGGCTGCTGCATCAGGCTGTCACTGCATGTCAGTGTTTGCTGCCAGAAGGAAATGCAAAGCAATTCATGGGCACGTTTTATGGGTCAAATTTGGTACAACTTAGTTCACTTTGGTGAAGCTGAACCAGTAATAAACTTGGTTCTGTGTTTCATGAATAGTGCCTCTTCTTGTACTTCGTCAAAATGAAGTGGAGAAGAGGGGATTTTTGTACCTCATGCTTCCCCTGCATTAGCAGTCGTGTACTCTAAAGTGCTTTAAAGCTAAAAATAGAAAATACTGACCAGAAACAGTGGAAAGAGATCAAATGCTATCACAAGTCAGTATCGATCCTCTCTTTTACCTGCTGCTAATGACAATACTTCACTGTTAACAGTTGTCACCAACTGGTAGTGAATGCTTTTTTAAAAAAAGTCTTTATTTTAGTACTTTTGCAGTGAATTTGATTATGATTTAATTTCTCTGAGTAGTCTAACACTGAAATTCCTTTAACTTCTCTGTTGTAACCCTTGATTTATGCCAGCAAATTTGAGAAATGAGTTAAGCTTCTTGCACAATGAAGCTTCTTGGGTCGCTGGTAACGAAGGGTGAGAAGAACAGAGTTAAAAATACGAGTGCTGCCTCTTTGTTTGCTTGCTCAAGGAAATCCTTCAGCTGGGCTGTTATTACTAACCAGGTCTGGGAAACATAATTTGGAGTTGCTTGCTGTTTCTCAGAAATGTTTCTCCTTCAGTGTCATGTGGTGAAATGTTTATCACTGGGAGAAGTTAGTCAAAGATAAGGTATGAACAATAGATTAAATTCTGCTTTCAGCTGTATTTGTATTTTTCCCACTGGCTGAAGAGGGAGGACTGCAGGAATATTTGCCTGATCCTAATCAGTAACCAGACAGCAAAAGGAAAAAGATTCTTTTCTCTTTCTCTCTTTTTTTTTTCTTTTTTTGTAGTACAGACATGCACATATATGTATATACATATGTATGCGTATATAGACACAATATATATGCACATACATGCATATGTGTGTATGTATATATACATACATACACATATACATTTTTTTTTCCTATTAATTTTACTGGAACTCAAATTGGATTAGTTTGTATTAGCTGTTTGTGTAATCTAATGTGATATTGCCTAAATATTACCTGCGTGTACTTCTTTCGTGTTTATTTTGCAGCTGTGGAGAACATAAGCAACTCTGACTTCGAGTATGTTACTGAGGCATTGAGCCCACATGCTAGGACAGTTGAGGCTGCTCAAGATATTACGGTTTCTGTTCCAGTAACAATCATAGATGAAGATGCAGAAGTTAACATCCCTAGATCTGCTGGAAATCAAGAGATGAGGAGTTCAGAAAATATTTCAGCTGACTCAGTTAATGCTGGGAACTTTAACAATAAAAACAACAATGCAGGTTCCTTTGATAAGGGACATATAAGTGGTGGATCTATATGTGTTTCCAAGGACTTGGATCAGCATCATCAACAACCTTCTGAAAATGAATTTGATAACTTGCCTGTGGAGCAGAGGAGAGATATGTTTGAATCACTCACCTCTTCCTTTGAAAAAAAAAGTGAAAAGAACTTAAAACTGGAGCCCCCGCCTAAACCTAATGCAAAGTCCGAGGAATATAAATCTAAGCCGATTCCATCTTACTCCAAGGCCACAACTGAAATCAGTACAGCAAAAGAGAAAAAAAATCCATTTAAGGATTGTAGCAAAAGGGAAAGACCTCTGAAAAAAAGTAAATCAGAATTAGAAATCAAACAATTACCAACAAAAAGAAATGAAGAGAAGGTAGAAGAAATCCCTTCAACACCCACATGGTGTCATCGTGTCCAGCATACAGGAACAAGTTATGAACCGAAAATGGGTTTGACAACCTTTAAAGTTGTTCCTCCAAAACCTGAAGTAAAGCATTTTGATAGAGGAGTCTCCCTCTCCACAGGTGCCATTAAAATTGATGAACTGGGCAATCTCATAACCCCAAATGCTGGTAGCAATAAGAGCACATCAGGTACTACTAGTCTCACTATTGATGAAAGTGAGGAAATTCCTCTTGGGAAAGTGAAGGAGTTCTGGAGGTCAAATTCTATGGAAAAGCAAAGTGATGACTCTGCAGAGCATCTTCTTAAAAAGTCAGCAGTCACCACAAACTCTAAAACATCCTTTACTCTAAAACATGAACACAAACCTGTCTGTCTTGTAGCTCCAAAACCTGCAGCACCACAAACTGTTACTTCCCAGGTAGGTGAAAGACAGTTTGAAAATGAAAAGACCAAACCACCTCTTCCAGCCACACAGTCTCAAGTAAAACCATTAGTGGCCCCAGCCATTAATAAAGACAAGGCGGAGCTTCCATTTCTAAAGCCGCATAGGAGGACTTCAAGTCAATATGTTGCCTCTGCCATTGCAAAACACATCAACCTACCTACCTTTAAGTCTGACTCCACAGAATATCATGAGAAAGAAGAAAATAAGCCTGGGGCAGGTGAGGTTAAAACTGAAGGAGAACTTTTCCCAAAGAGATGTATTATTGTGGCCAAATACAGCCCTGTGGAAACAGATTCAGCAGAAACAAGAGAGCCACCTTCAAATGTTTTTGCTTCCAGTCTAAAAGTATCACACAGGTTTACACCTGGTGATAATTCTGGAGTAGAGAACAAAACAGTTAACATCAGGGCACCAAATCAAGCAACTCCTAGTTTCTATAAAAAGAATGGCAGTGTCCCACTTAGTAAATCCTCTTCAAAGGATAACAACGCTGCAGAAGATGATCACAGTTTAAGCAGCAAGCAAAATATAGTAGAGAAAAAAATGCATCTTTTGTTGGACCAGAAATGTGAGACTTTGAACCATACTAATTCAGCCCCATCCCTGAAGTCACCTGATCTCCAGGCTGTCCCACCCTTTTCCAGCTCGTCTCTGCGGGCCAGTAAATGGCCTCCCACCGGCAGCCTGCAGGCCGGTTGTTCCAAAGCAGCTTGGCCCGAGCCGAGCGGCGCGGCCGCCAGCAGCCACGCGGAGTCCGAGCGGGAGGACAAGCACGACGGTCTGGCTGCTGGTGCTGTCGCCGAGGCAGATGTCAACGTTCAGACCAACATCTTCGGACCAAAGAAGAAGTTCAAGCCCGTTGTGCAGAAACCCATCCCTAAAGACACGTCCCTGCACAGTGCCCTGATGGAAGCAATCCAGACAGCAGGGGGAAAGGAGAAACTCAGAAAGGTAACACGGAGGCTCCATTGAGCCTGTGCAGCTGCAGAAGTTTTAGTTTGCACCATCAGACATCAGCTGGTTTGTAAACGCTGGTGAGCTGCAGGGCACATGGCATTTGAAAAAAAAAAGTGTATAATGGCAAAATGCAGACCAAAGTCTTGGTGATGCTGCGTGTCCTGTGCATTAGGCAATGCTGGTGCTTCTGCACTAGCAAGGAGATTGAGAGGGTGCACAGATGCAGCTTAGCAGAGAGGTAATTGAGATTAGCCCAGGAACCCAGCTCACATTTCTCTGTGTTATATAAAAGCAATAAAACTTGTAAAAGTTTGTTGTAAAACTGTCTGGTGAAAACTTGTAAATATCTGTAAAGGAAAGAAAATTACGTTTTGTGTTAATTTGGTGATACTCATTTGTTGCTAAAGCTCAGGAGATATGAGACTACATCTGCACACACAGCATTACTCACTGGAATCTACATATATCCTTATCAGTTAGGGGGAATAAGGATTCATTGAATTATAGAATCACTATGGTTGGAAAAGACCTTGAGGATCAAGTCCAACCGTAAACACATCACCACCATGCCTACTAAATGCAGCCCTGAAAGAAAACAGACTGATTAGTCTCCATAGCTTGGTTTTTGGTGCATGCACTAAAATACTTTCAAGAGTGTTTGTCTCTAAGTAAATACCTAGCAAGGTTATTGTTTTTATATTCTAGATTTCAGACACTGCGTTAAACGGAAGTCAGAAGAAACCCTCATATGTTGAGCCAGAGAACGAGCGCTCAGCCCTGCTGGCAGCCATCAGAGGCCACAGTGGCACCTCGAAGCTGAAAAAGGTAAGAAACAGTGGTCTTGTAACTGCAGTCTGCACTTATATAGTTTTAAAATTTATAAACCTTCAGTTTATATCCAAAACTTTTGGATATATCTTGGAATTACACAAAATGAAGTTGTCTTGCAGGGAGAAAAGCGTAGGGGCAAATATTATGATAAAAAAGAGAACTGACTTGCACAAATAATATAGTGGGTCAGGTTATGTCCTCTGCTACAGAAGTTACTCTCTTTGAAATTTTATGCCCAGTACTGAGAGAGAATCATGTGTACATCCAAGTGAATTAAAGAGAATGCACGTGAAGGCACCAGATCATCATTGGTTTCAGATATTTAGGTGCTTTTTGCGCCTTAAGAGTGTGTGGTTATTTGTATTGCCTACTGTATGCATCCTATCACAGTTACCTTAAAACACATTATGATTACTTCACACGTGCTTCATGAGTTAGGTTCATATAAAGTTTTGCATCAATACAGTCTGGGAACTGAAATGCTGGAGAGCAGCTCTGCAGAGAGGGACCTGGGCATCGTGGTGAACAGCAAGTTGACCATGAGGCAGCCGTGTGCCCTGGTGGCCAAGAAGGCCAATGGGATCCTGGGGTGCATTAAGAAGAGCATCTCCAGCAGGTCGAGAGAGGTGATCGTCCCCCTATACACAGCCCTGGTGAGGCCACATCTGGAGACAGTGTCCAGTTCTGGGCTCCCCAGGATAAGAGGGACGTGGAGCTGCTGGAGAGACTGGAGAGAGTGCAGCGCAGGGCTATGAGGCCTAGATCAGAGGCCTGGAACATCTGCCCTGTGAGCAAAGGCTGAGGGAGCTGGGCCTGTTCAGCCTGAGGAAGAGAAGGCTGAGGGGGGACCTGATCAGCGTGTATAAATACCTCAAGGGAGGCAGTGAGGAGGAGGGGGCCGGCCTCTTTTCAGTGGTGGCCAGTGATAGGACTAGAGGAAACAGCCACAAGCTGAGGCACCAAAAGTTCCACAGGAACTTAAGGAAAAATTTCTTGACAGTGAGGGTGACAGAGTCCTGGAACAGGCTGCTCAGGGAGGTTGTGGAGTCTCCTTCTCTGGAGATCTTCAAGACCTGCTTGGATGCAGCCCTGTGCCACATGCTCTGTGTGACCCTGCCAGTACAGAGAGGTTGGACTAGATGATCTCTAAAGGTCCCTTCCAACCTCTGTGACTCTAAGCAATGGATGCTGATGGAAAATCTCAAATTCTTTTCCGCTGTAGCAGGATGGTTTCTTCTGTCTTGAGGTCTGACCTAACCATTAAAACATCTCCTATTTCCAGTAGCCAAAGCCTGCATTGTTCTAGCCTCAGTTTTTCCTCAGTTCACTAATCAAGCCGAAGATGTGTTTTTGGCAGGGAGTCTCCCATTTCCCTCATGCAATGACTCAGACCATTAACGCACCCAGATAGTTGGCATGAGATTGAATTGTCCTTTTCTGTGTGAGGGCATTACTCCTTCCCTCTAAGCGATTCCAAGTGTCTGCAGCCTGTGCTGCCCATAGGGAACAGCCTTCTGTGAGCCTGAGAGTGGAATATGCTGCTAGGGGCAGTAAAGGATCGGCAACCTCTTGATCAAGGATGTGTCACAGCCATCTCCACACATGCTTAATTGCATTTTGCATTCATTTGGCACAAATGCAAGTTTGTGTGAAAGAAGATTTGAGAATGAAGTGGTGTTACTTTATCACGGAGACTTTTTGAAATACTTTTCTCCAGCAGAGAAGCTTTCAGCATCATTTGAAAGGAAGTTGCTTAGATACTGTACTTTTTTTTTTCCTCCTCCACACACAACATATCACCTGTGCTAGTTAAAGCACCGTGGTTATATGTGTTCAGGGCTTGGGTACAGATATGCTGTGATGGAAGGACCATCCCTTCAATGTCATCTGAGATGATCATATCCTACCTGACATGACTCCATGCTCATGTATTTGTATATGCAGTGAGGGGACAGAATGTAGGAGCTCTCTCAATTTGGGTTGCTTGATGGGAAAATGAATCCGTTTTCATTTTTTCACTAGAGAGATATTGTGTCTCATTTTCCTGGTAAAGGGAATGGTAACGTATTTGCTGGTAAACTTCCCATTTTCCACATGATTCAAATAATTTTAATTCACAGATTCACAGAATGGTTGAGGTTGGAAGGGACCTCCAGAGATCACCTAGTCCAAACCCCCTGCTCCAGCAGGGACACCCAGAGCACAGGCCATAGGGTGGCATCCGTAATGGGTTTGGGAGACCTCCAGAGAAGGAGACTCCACAACCTCTGTTGGCAGCCTGTGCCAGGGCTCTGTCACCCTCACAAGGGTAATGACTACAGCTTGATTATGATTACTGGTAGTAACATTATTAAGAACAAAAGTATTTCTTGAGGCAGTTGGAGGAAAATCTGGCTTAGTCTGAATGATTGCCTGCTCCACCTGCATGCATTTAAACAAAAACAAACTTCCACATAAGTTTCATGTAGGAATTCTTAGGTTCAGAAATTCTGCAGAAACCCTTACAAGAGCAACCAATAGTTTTCTTTGCTATATGCTTTCACATAGTTCTCTCTCTTTGTTTTTTTTTTCAGTAAGGCCAGAAATTTTAGATTTAATACCTTTCTTCCCCGTCTTTTCTGTGTTTTTTTTTTCTTTCAATGAAGCCAAGTCCCAAAAGCATAGCTGTTGAAGAGCCTCGCTCCCATCTCAAATTATTTCTGCAGCCCCTACTGCTAAAAGTAACCAGATTTCTGGGTGGCTACTGCAGCTTTAATATATGTTCCTAATTCCAAAAATCTTTGTGGTTGCTTCCAAGTCCAGCTCCCCGTCTGTTACCTTACATGCCAAGAAGAGTTACAGGATGCTGAAGCTCACAGTAAATAGAGATTGAGTTTCTGAGACAGAGTCAGTGCCAAATCCTTGATGCTGGTAATCAGCCTAGCTGAATGATGTGAGTGAGTAGTAACAGATGTTCAGCCCTATGAGCAAACGAAAGTTCTACGTGCTTTTTATCATTCAAGCAAAGTTAAATTGGGATACTAAAGTTAAATGCATCAAATAATTACGATTTGGTCTTGCTTTGATATTAATCACTGCCTTTCTACTGCATTATGAACAGATCTCCTCAGTGGCCTCTGAAGAACTGCAGAGTTTTAGGAATGCAGAACTGTCCTTGCAAAAAGCAGAAGACCATCAGGAAGAGCAGCTTTGTATCCCACCACCTCCCACACAGCCACCACCTCCTGCACCACCATCAGCAGCAACAGCTCCAAAATCCTCTGTGCCTGCTGCAGCTGACCCTGCTGAGGCAAGGCAAGCCCTAATGGAGGCCATTCGCTCTGGTGCTGGAGCAGCAAAGTTAAAAAAGGTAAATGTACTTTTATATTTTTAGCCTTTTGGAGGAAATAATTTGAGCATGCTGCTCTGAGAGCTGTTTTTAAGCTTAGCCACACATTTCTTTCTGTCACCATCAGAAGGTGTGCGTACTGTGTTTTATTTAGCTGAGTCAAGGATAAGGAGCAAGTATCAAGCCTTTGGACAACTCTTAAAACACATTTTTGAAAGAGTACTTCTCCTCTTTAGAAAGCCAAATCATGCCTGTGCAACCATATGAATATGCCAATACCTATTTCTTATAAAAGAGAACATTAAGAGCATTCATTTTAGAAAACTTTTGTGTATACGTGTGTGCCCTTTGCCATTTTCAGGAACCTGAGACATGCTGTATGTCCTTTAGACATGGAGAGGTCAGATATGAAACCCAGACTTTCCCTAGCCATTTTTTTTCCTGCTTCCACAAACCTGAAACAAATTTAGACATAATTGTCTCCTGATTTCAGCAGTGTGTGGAAGACTTTGAGACACACGAGCTTAGACGGCATGTGTTGAGAGCCGTCAGTAAAGCTGTGACATCCTTTTAATGTCTACCTGAACTTTATCAATTGGATGATTCATGTTTCTCTTTTGTGGTCAACTATGGATAAACCAACTTCTACATGGCTAAATGCCATTCTTGCTCAGATGTTAGTGTTGATTTTTTTTTTTTTGAGAAAATTCATTTATATGATTGAGGGGTTTTTTTGTTTTTTGTTTTTTTTGTTTGTTTTTTGTAACCTTGTGTTACACCTCATTTCTGAGTAAAGAGAAGCAAGCATTTTGCCTCTGTGGCATCATCCTAATATTACACTGCAGTATCTAAGAGTGGACTTTGATCCAGAGACTTCATGTAATGTACAAGAACAGATGGAGTTTTCCCAACACGTGATTTAGCTGATGCCAGCTGTAAGTGTGCAAATAGACTTTAACCTTGCTTGCTTATCCTCTTTAAAACAATTCAAAATATATTACCAATTTCAAATATTAAAAAAGGCTAAAAAATCCTGTTTCTGATAAGCCCGAAATTCCACAGTATCACCAGCAATTGCACAAACAAATCAGCTTTTCAGATAAATTTCCATCAGCATAGTAACAGAAATCAGGATGTTCAGTTGTTGTGCACGTGAAAAAAAAGTCTGAATACCAGTAGAAAACTGTAACTTATCAAGAAATAACACTCCAAAGGAGGTTTTCTTTCTCAATATCACCATTTTACAGGAGAAAGAAAAAGAAAAAGTGAATTTGTACATTCAAGAATACCACATGCAGTTCTTTGTTTTCTAGATCTTTTCAAATTCCAAATAGTGTGAACTTTGCTCTTCCAACTGCATGACTGTTGCAGAAGTCCCTGGGGAAGCCATAGCTCTACTCATTAAAATAAGTCTTTATCACATCCTTGGGGATTCATTGTGAAACAGTTAGATAGTCATTGCAATCTACAAAAGTGAGCTTGATATACTGATATATTCTGCTAAATACTGTGCCTGTCTTCTTTCATTTTCAGAACAGAGTAATTTTCAGTACATCTGACATTGAAATGACAAAAGAGTGCATCTTTTCTTGCGTATCTTTTATAAAAATGAGAGGCATTTTGTCCAAAGACAGAGCAAGTTTTTCTTGTTATTGTGCTGTCCTTCATTATATTGGATATGCAAGCTAAGTCTTGTATATGCCAAAGGCATCATATCATTCTGACATCTGAGATCCCATGCCCTTGATCATTTATAAAAGTAAAAATGTCAGATTTCCCAGAATTTCTATCCAGTGTCTATTAATATTTCTCCTAGATTATTGTGTTAAATAAGAGCCAATTTCTGATCTTTTCTGCAGTTGGGCAGCTTATGGCAGCAAAAGTTGACTTTATAGAGAATATATGATATCATATCAGGGCTTTCTTCTTTTATAGCTGTGGAACATGACTGCAACGAGTACTGACTTTTTGGTAGACAGTGGCTGGTGTATGGTTTTTTTCGGGGCAAAAGCAAATGTTTTTCTTTATTTTGCATCCTCTGTCTAAAATCTGTGATGTCTTCATGTGGAGGTGTAAGTCCAGAGCCATTTTTTTTTTTTACTAGGCTGCCTGTTAGGTTTTAGTTGCAATGAGCAGATAACAGTCTACATAGTTAAATCTTTTAGTGGCATGTTTTTCTCCTCCATTGTCTTCTGTAAGCTTTCTGGAACAAGGGCTTCTGATGGTGAAGTAATTTAGTTAGCTAATATTGTGGAGAACTGGGAAAGATCTGCATTGCTTAGTTATGTATGACTCAGTTTGCGCTTATTTATGAAGGATTATTTGCAATGGAAGTAGATCAAACGGGACTGTCAGGGGAAGCAAACATGAAAAGCAACCAATTGCCTAGATAAGGAGCATCCCAACAAACATTTGAGCTCTATTAATATCTGTGAAAAGGCAACTCCTCCACTCTACCTCTGATTACACAGCTGTTTGCTAGAGTCATGAACTTTAAGGTTAAAAGATCCACTGTGCAGGAAGGGAGGAGAGAAGTAGCTGCAGGCTGACCCAACCTTGCCGAGGGTCCAGGTCTGCCCCAGGAAGGCTGTAATTGGGTCACCCAAAACAAACCAGGACACAAATACACATTTGAGGGAAAGGCCAAGTATAGGTAAGACAGTATGTGTATAGCACTCCTGGATTTTCTTTAATCCATTTCTTGGACTGCTGTGCCTATTTTGGCAAATAAATCACACTTGATTTTGAAGAAAAGACTTCTGTTTTATTGCACACTCTTGCTGTCCACAGACTCCTGCAGGAGAATTCTTGTGGGTGCCAAGTCCAGCAGAGCTTGCTCAGTAACGTGGTCCATCCACAGTGCAGTGCAGTTCTGGGATGTGCCAGAAGGTGGTTTGGTTAGGAATCCTACCCAAAGGGAATGGAGATAAGGCTGTGTCTCCAGAGTGGTGGCCTTCCTGAGCTAGCAAAGATCTTACAAGTTGCAGTAAATAACCTTTGTTAATTCTCAGAATGGTCTGATGAGGAACCTTGCACATGTTTAACACATCTAAAGTATAACAGTAAGTCTGAGAGATAGCATCCAATGAGGCCACCAGGATCTGTTGCTCTAATGGCATTGGTGGTTAAGTGGCCTCAGAAATGAGCACTTCTTGCTCACAGGGTGTCTCCTTCCCAGCTGCACCATCTGTATGGAGGGAGATCACTTGATCTAGGAAAAAAAGAGCTGATCCAAGACCAGCTCTTCGTTGTACTGAGCAAATTTATGTCGTAGAGTTGTGTCATTTGAGCTTCTCATGTTAAAAGTGATCTAATGTTTTATTTAGATTGTATCGAGCAACTTTTGTCACAAATTCACATACTCATTTCTCTTAGTTCTTAAGCTTTTTGATTCTGTCTTTGCAAATGCAAATGAAACCAGCTAGATTTCTGAAATTCTGTGTACATCACTGCATGTGTATGTTTGTGTCTGTGTAACTTGCCTTGGGATTTACCATCATTATCTGTGAAAAAATTAAACATAACTAACTACACATGCAAATAACCCATTAAATGTCTAGCTGTAGGTGTAGTTGCAGCACAAGCCCATGCAGGACTGAAAATCTTACCAACAAAGAGAAGCTATAAAAGTTGCCTTTGCTTATATGCTGTCTGCTCATCTTAGGTAGAGTTGTACCTGGGTATTTGGTAGAGATACTGCAAGGAAATGTGCCAATACAAAGTGGGGAAAGCAGTGTGCTTATCTCCAAAATAGACTTTTGCTCATGGAAAAACTATTTCTGTTGACTGTGGTACATGGAAGAGACACTCTACAGATTTCACATGTTTTCCAGTTAAGATTAAAGCTGTACCCATCTAAGTAGACGTTTTTATGTTTACTTGCTATAACTCTTAGAATTAATTTGGCTCCATCACAGAATCCACAAACATTCATTGCAGTATTCAGTGTTCAGTCGTATGAACTCTTGATACGTGCAATATATCATTCTCTTGGCAACTAATGGAGCCAGGTAAGATAACTGCAGCGCCCATTGCAATGAATGTCTGGTATATGCTGGCATCATTCCAAGTTGATCTCTAACAAGTGATTCATCGATCTGAATTAAGGCATGTTCGGTGTCTCCTAGGGATCATGGCCAAGTTCTGTGCCTTTATGTCAAGCAGCTGACCACTCTCCTAATATAATCAGGGATATAAAGTTGTGAATGAAGAAATACTATTTCTTACCATTAATGTTTGTAGGTGCAATGACAGAACTTAAAGACCGAGAGTCTTTAAGCCCTTGATACTAGAAATAGGGGAAAGAGGCCTCGCTAAAAAGTTGTTCAAGCTGGATATACAGGTAGTCAAATAAGCCCAGAAAGGGATTTTGGTTCCCATGCAGTGAAATGCAGTCATTTGCATGCTTCTACTCTATTTGAATTGAAAGATAATATTTAATTTGAACTCTTAACCTTGCTATTTATTTTGTACAGTGACATATTTTTCACTAAGAGTAAAGCTTCTGCCGTGGATACCAAGGTCAAAATCCAAAAGTTTTAGCTTGTTCAAAGACGTAGATGCTGTTTAGCTTTTGTGGTGCCCATGCTGTGTGCATCTCTGTGATAGAATCAAAGCACAGTGGGAAGAGCACCCTCGTGTACATGTTCAGTTAAGCATATGCTTTGATGAAATGAAGGCTAGGAAGAAGCATTAAGTTCCAATATTTTAGTTTTATTTTATTAAATTTATTTTTTTTTCATTCAATCACAAAGCAAAGTATTCATCAATTGATTTATATGACCAGCAACAGCTAACCAATACTGAACAGATTTTGACTGTCGGGTCTTTCATACTCACAGCCAGGGTTTGTGTTCAGTCCCCAAAATGAAGGAATTTCACAGAAAAATATGTAACCTACATTCTGGTAATAATGTTACTGCAGCCAAAATGACCTAAGGATGGATGAGGGGTGGGATTTTTAGGGAAGGATGATACCTTTCACTTGGAACAATATACCTGGGGGAAAAAAAAAAAAAAGAAAAAAAAAAGGATAAGCTTTAAGTCTCAAAGAACTGATGAAGAGACTAAGCTTGCAGACAGCCCAGCAGGAGAATGCTTGGTTAACAATGTCAGCAGTTGAAGGTTTAAAAATATCTCAAATGATCATGTGCTTTTCTTTGTTATAGGTCCCTCTGCTCGTTTGAATTGTGTATAAAGAACAGGTAATTGGAAAATCTAACCCCATATGCACCCATAATCATCATTCAAGGTCTGAAGTGGCAAAAACACATCAAGAAGTTTAGTTTATTCTCTTGTCTACAAGCCAAAATAAGTTAATTTTCAGTGTTCCTGCATAATGGTTCTAAGGGAAAAATATGTTGTTCTGCTGTAAAGCTTCTGTGCCAAGGAATTGTGTTTTGCCTCTGAATATTTAAGGTTGCCAATAAACTATTCTTGTTGGCAGGTTAATAAGAGTGTAAACACTGTGCAGTCTTCTGTTAATACTTAATTGTGTTTATGGGCAAAATTAAAAGACTTTTGCTAGCTATCTGAAAAGTAATATTCATTTCAAGTTGTTAAAAGTACGTAACTATTTCAGACTATTTACTTGCATCTTGATTTGGAGAAGAATTATAAGCAATAAGAGGGAAAAAAAGAAACAGAATAAAGATCTATAGGAGTCAATAACAATAGCAAATTTATGGTATATTCTGAAAGACCTAAATTGCCATATGCTGCAGTCACTGTCTTTCATGATTAGGTGGAGTTTATATATCTGCAGCTCTGAGAAAGCAGGTGATCAATGGAGAAGGTGAGACCGCGTGTCTGTTGAGAAGTTACTCACGGGGTATGATGTATAGAGTAGCATATACTGACCCGGGTAGCGCCCACGGCACGTGAAAGATGCCGAGACTCCTTCAGGGATCCGCGCTTGCAGCCGCGGAGGTTCAAGCAGGGGGCTGTGTGGTGGCCCCAGAGCCGAGCTCCCTCCTGCGGGTGGCGGTTGCAGCCGCCGCCGGGACTTGGTCACCGCCCAGGCCCCGCGCGCGCCCTCGCGTTCCCCTTCCGCCGCCGCGGCCTGCTGCCTCGCAAGCGTTCATAGCAGCTGCTTGTACAGAAGGTTGACTACTTTGGTAGTTGTGGTTGTACATACGTTGAAAATATTTTGTTGAATTGAAGGGATTAACTTAAAAAGGACAGCTCAGAATGCTTTTACACATTTCCTGTAATGGAACCGAAGAGGGGGAAGTTTGTACATTTACATTTTTATAATTGCAGACCAGAGAGGAGGTTGGTTCTTTTTTTGAAGCTAAAATTTAAAAACATACAGCTATGTAATGTTGAAAGCAAGAGAATATTTAGCCATCTGCATTTAATATGTCTGTATATTATATATTGTAAAATATTGATGTCTGTTAGTGCCACAAATAAAAACAATCAAAAACTGTTACACGGCTCATGAGACTCTTTTTGCCATTTCTTTTTTCCATTTACAGAAAGAAATTGGAACTAGTGATGAACTTGAGCAAAGCAGGGTGTTGTGTGTAATATCTCAGGTCTAATATAAAGTGTCTCAGGCCAAGAAAGGGCTCTTAACTGATGCTCGAGGAATGCAGCAGAAATGGAAAAATTAAATCAAGATACCTGAACACATTACCATACCATACACATTTTTATATTAATGCAGCATTGCTGAAAGTCCATCCCTTCATCAGGAAATCTAATATATTCTGATTAAGATGCTGTTTCATACCTTGGGATGGATAAGATCACCTTTGTTGGCTGGCAAGCCCTTTTGAGTCTTAAAATCTTCACAGTATGCTTTGCATAGGAAATATTAACATTTTAAAAGTGCCATCAGAGGAAAGGATTCACTCATAACCTTGAACACTGTACAGATAGTCCCACCAGCAGTGATTACAGCTTCCTTGATAAAGTGCTGAATTCACTGCAGTCCCCCTTGCTGCTTTTCTTAGTGCTGTCGGAAGGCTCTGGTTCTGCCTCCCTTACTGATGCCCTTTTAATGCAATGAATTGCATATGTAAGTGTTTTTCAATGCAAGAGAACCCAAATTGGATTTTGAGATAAGAAAATAGTCCAATTGAGCCCCGGAGAATCACAGGTTCTCTGCCTGGATGCTGGCACTATATAGAACTGAGGTTTATGGAAGAGTTATTCCTGGATAAACTTCTGATTATCAAATTCCCATGGCTAAAGAGCTGTAAGATTAAGAATTGCAAGCTGAGATGTCACCTTCACTGTGACAGCAAAAAAACCTTTCAAAAGATCCTGCTGGCTCAGTCAGAGATGAAGCTAGAAAAGGAGGAGGAGGGAGTTCAGCTGAATGAACAGGAAGCTGGACTTCGTGTGCAACTCTTGTTGACAAGAGACATGTATGCTGTTGTGTTGTCACCCCTTGAGAAGCCAGGAGCTCTTGAATTCCCAGTAGCAGTCTAATTGAGCCCTGAATGAACGAGCATTTTCACTTTTTATGAAAATAAAATGGACCCAGTTTTATTGATGTCTGGTAGAGGTGTGAGCCTCCTCTGCCACAACGTCTTTCTCTATGAAAATGCATGGTAGTTTTCATTTAGAAATTGCTTTAGTTGATACCAAGCAAGCAGTTTCCACGCTCCTCACACAGTTCTTACTTTTACTGTGCTTCACATCTTGGCACTCACAAACTTGGTTCCTGTTGGATGAACTGAATTTGGGAAATGTGCTCTGACACAAATTGGTATTCAGTCTGTGGAACCGGACTAGAGCTTGTTCAAAGGGGAGATGGGGGCTAAATGTAGCTGAAAAAGATGTCATATCCTCAAATATTTTCATCCGTAGAGCTCTGCTGTAAGAGCATCTGCTCTTACTGGTCCACACTAGTTGCTGATGTAGAGGCAGCATGTCTGTAGAGGCATATATGCCACCTAAGTTGGTCATCAACACATCCTATCATGATACGTGCAGGTGGAGAATCTACAAATTGGTTTCTTCTCTGAAGGACTCTCTGAGAAAAAGGACACAGAGCTCCCACTTTTCCATGTGTGCCTCTTGGCCTAGGTTTTCCCCACATCCTCTCACCTCAATTCCACTAGAGGAGGGAATACGATATGCCCCTAACATATCAGGTTCTTCAAAGCCCCATGTATCTAGGGAAAAGATATTCAAATGTGGTGAAAAAATTCCGTCAGCAGGGAATTGAGTGGAGAATTTAGATTCAGTATGGTCATACCGTGTACAGATATAAATCTGTATTCAGGGCTTGGAAAATCTAGTTCAATGTCTTTAATAAAATGTGTAGGTCTCCCCCCACCGTTTTGTACATTTTTTTACTAACATTTTTCATTGAGTTCGTAGTAGCACTCAACCATAAAACCAACATTAAATCTCTCTGATTAGATATTTAATTTTAAATAACATTGGCTACCTGCATGAAATATTTGACTTATAGGACTATAGCTTCATTATAACCTTTTATTTTTCCCTTGTGCAGACAGATTGCTAATACTGGTTGTGGAAAGTATTGGACCAAAAAACCTTTTGACACAGACATCAATCTGTAGATGAAGGATTCCTGCCATCTGAGGCAGAATTCAACCTCCTCAGCTCATACAAGTGATTTGCCCAGTTTATGCTACATAAAAAAGTGTCAAAAATTTTCACTTTGTCACTCCCTAGGAAAAAGGAAGAGATAGAAAGATGTGCTATGAAACAGTGGAAAATGCCACCACAACAGATAGATTGTGTTGTTTTCCCTCCAGTTCTTCCAGAAAAGAAAGAAGCATCTCTGTTGTTTAGTACAGTTTAGCATTAAGCATGTGTTTTAATTTGAGTGAAAACTCTGAACAGATTTTTTTTTTTTTTGAGTGAAAGTTTATCTGAATTAATTGTTCATAGTTTGGATCCTTGCTAGGGCAATATGAAATATAAGTCATATGCAATGGTACCTTAGGAATTTTTACTTACACAGAATATTTGTATGTGTTCTCTGCTCATCCCTAACCCTCCTTTGAGTTGCATATGCTTCGTATGCCCCAACAAGCTTTGTCTCTGAGACTTTTATTAAAATTTATAAGATTCTTTTTATTCTTATTCTGTTTGTTCATGCCATTTTTGTTGCTGTTGAACATGCACTCTAAATTATATTACGCTACATGTTATAGCTGTAGCTGCTGTAACAGTTGTATTTCCCCACTTTCAGAGAATGATGCATGCAGTGTCAGAGTTCATTTTCTAAAGACAAAATGAAAAAAAAAACACTATTTTTTTTCAGCCATGTCCACCTGGAATTGGTACAACATTGTTCCAATGCTCGGTTCTTTTTTGCTGTGTAGGATGTGGAGTTTGATTCATTGCTGATGTCTTTGTTTGGCTGGAAAAACTTTCCATGTACTTGAATTCCCAGGTGTGTTCATCAAAGTGCACCGAGATGGATGAACCTTCCTAAGAGCAAAAAGGTTTTTTTTTTTTTTTTTTTTTACTGTTAAGTAAATGTTATTAAGTGTTTGTTAAGCATATAATTTGTCTAAGGACTGACAGACTGGTAGTCAACAAGTACAAAAGTCTCATTGCTGTGTTCGTCCAGCAATTTGAGGAATTTTCTACATGTTATTTTTTGTCATTAAAGAGTCCTTATGAAGGGAAATAAATTAGAGGTATTTAATATGAAAATTGTATCTTTTTCACACTTGAGGAGTTCAATAACAAATTCACTGTCACTGTTCATTCCTTTCCCTCACTCCTACTCCATGCTGTGCACATGCACACATATTACATGCATGTACACACACACAGGAACTCAGTTAAATGTCTGCAAGTGTGAGTGTGATTATCCTCAGAGTGTGATTATCCTCAGAAGAAATAATTTCAGCAAGTTTGCAAGTAGTTAATACCAGGATCTTTACCTCTTACTGAATCCTTTTCCATTTTTAACCATAGCTTTCGCATCCTGTTAAGTAGGACTACATTTTGATGTGCGTAAAACATCTGTAGACAATAACTGCTTGAAACAGTGTCTAATACAGATCCAAATAGGGCTGTCTTCATTTTTTTTCTTTGGGGGGAGGACTTTTTTGTTTTATTGCCCTTTTTTCTTTTATTTTGTCCATAGACATTTAAAAACAGGTATTTTGATACTGTGCTTGAAGTCCTAAGAGGTTCCCCTCAAGCAAAGCATGATGTTGCTACAGTTGGGTATCAGATTGGAAGAGCGTATTATTCATACCACAGATATCACTGTCCGCTTTGTATCTGAGGAGTGGAAAAGGCCACCTTATCAAAGGAACAAAACTGGAACATCCCTGCCATCGTTAATGCAACCCATGTCTACCAAAACACAGTAAAAATGGGCATGGGGTTTCCTTTACCTGGTTTCATGTACTCAACAGAGCAGTTTTTTTAAAGGGCTTGGGTCTATTCCCCATTGTTTTTTGGTGTTGGGATTTGGTCAAAATTGTAGGGTTCTGGTTCGGCTGGTATCTCTCATCTGCGTGTCAGTTTTTTTTCTCCTTGCATGAGAAAAAAATGGGGTTGATGTAGCCTGCTCTTGGAGCTGCAAGCCAAGCATTTGCACTGTGCCTATGAGCAAACACCTTTTGGGCATGTGGCAGTCTAGTTGGAGGGAGTTCAACTGTTGCAGATGCTGTGGGTTGGTAGTCTGTACTGTTTCTCATCCATCTTACACCAGAGGTAGTGGTAAAAGGTGGGAGACATGGATGTGTCAGCCCTCTGACAAAACCTGGGGGTGAGACACATGCAACCCATGAGCTCCAGCCCTCCCTGCTGCAGCAACATGGGACAGCACCAACAGCATATAGAAGGCATCTCTTTAAGCAGAAGGCTGACCAAAAATACTCTTAATTCTGGATCCTGGAAGTCATCAAACAAATCCTGAGATTGCAAGTACCTCTTTAAATATGAAG